GATGAATGGATGGATAAATGGGTGGAGTGGATGGATGGACAGAAGGATGGATGGATGAGTGGGTAGGTGGATGGATAAATGGGTGGATGGATGGATAGATAGGTGGATGGATGTATGGATGCATGGATGGATGGATGGATGGATGGAAGGATAGGTGGATGGATAGAATGATGGAGAATGGATGGATGGATGGATGGATGCATGCATGGATGGATGCACGGATGCATGGATGGATGCATGGATGCATGGATGGATGCATGGATGAGTAGGGGCGAGTGGATGGGTGCGTGGATGACTGAATGAGAAGTGAAGGTAAAAGAAGAACTAGGGACCTTCAGTGCCATCCACTTTAGGGTGCTCACCCCACATCATGCTAACCCCACATCATGGAGGCCCGGCCTGCCATCTCAGATGAGAAACTGAGGCACGGAAAGGCATAAAGACGAGGCCAGGCCGTGCACCCGGGAGCTCAGGCACTGGCGAGCAGGAGCCAGGGCAGGATGGTGGAGAAGGTTTGGAGATCCTCACCAGCACCTCAGGAAGTGGCTGACCCCAATCGAGGGCCCCTTGTACTGCCAGGAACACTCGTAGCTGGCGCCGGCGCTGAATATCCGGTAGCAGCTCAGGTTCTGGGGGCCCAAGGCTGAGCCTGAAGATTCCAAAAGTTTGAGAATGGGGTGGGGGGAGTAAATCTTTGTGACGTTGATGTAATCTGGTGTCCCCTCAGCCTCAACCTGTGGTGGTTTCCAGCCCCCTCCCTGCCTCTCCTAACCTCCCTCCCCCATTTCCCTGCTCCCCCCCGCTCCGGCCTCCTGGCTGGCTAGTCCCCAAATACACCAGCCACTTTCCTTCCTCCCGCAGGGACTTTGAGGGGACCTGGAACCCACTCCCCCAAGGCTTTACTATGTGTTTATTTCTGTGATGGCAAGTTTGTTACGATGAAAGAGATACAAATGGAGGAACACACAGGGGGAGGCTTAAGAGGATGCTCCCAGGACAGAGCTCCCATTGGCCAGAACGGGTGCTGCCTCTTTCACCACCCAGGAAGCCCCAGGTGATCTTGACATTCCAGTTTGTCTTGACAAGGCTCCTCCTTCACCCCCTGCTGCCCCAAAGTGGCCCTCCTGCTCTCCCTGTGACTGCTCATGGTGTGTAGTCTATGGGTTCATGGGCCTGCATCTGTACCCCAACTCCCCATCCACCAGTCCATCTGTCTGTCCACCCACCCAGGAGGTCAGCTGGACCTACAGTGGATTCCATCAGGTCTAGAATTGTGTCTGCTTATAGTAGCTGCTCAGTAAATCTTTACTGAACATCCACCTGGATTAAGTACCTGCTCAGTGGCAGACTCTTGGCAGGGGGCATTCTAAGCATAAATGCTCCAGCAATGGCTGCCTGGGCCAGCATTTGAGCTGTTGGCCCCATGCACTGACCCATCTGAACGGACCCAGACACCAGGCCATGACCTTGCAAGGGAGCCTCAGGCTTAGAGGGGGTCAGAATGCTGCAGGCAAGAGCAGTTAGCCATTTGTGGGTCAGGGCTCCCTGGAACCCAGGCCGAGCTGGGTCTTTGGTAGGTGGGAGGAGGCTGAGGGAAGGGGTTGTGAGGGTGGGGTCATGCGGAGCCCATTGTGCACACCCCTCCCGAGACGGTCCCAAACCTGAGTCTGTGTCCAGGTACGGTGGGTCCTGAAAGCAGCACCTGCTGGTTCCACAGGTTCCAGCTGCAACAGAGATGATGATTCTCCACAGGTGAGACCTCACCTGTGGGCCTGGGCATGTCCACCCTCTGTCCACCCATGTACCCACCCA